ATAATTAATGCCATAAATAAATATCCACTATTATGGCCAATTAAATATTTATTCTCCTTGGATTAGGATTTCTGTCCTAAACCAACTGGAAATCCCACTGCAGTAGAATCCTGGTTGACTTGTACTGCAAGTTCCACAAAACCTCCACCAATAGAAGCCGCGGCCGCGCCGGCCAGCCTTGGATCCCTGCTCCGGTTTCTTCCTTGCTTTGTCGAGTCTTTTTGGATCTTTGTGAAGGCCCGGTCTCCAACGGTCGATCCCAATTCGAAAAATATAATTTACAAAATTACATAAATCGATTCCTAGATCCAACGAGTGGATGTACATGCCTTCTACTAATTAATTAAACTATCCGGTTAACCCCCGGGCAATTAATACAAGCATTCATCCATAATTCCTCGACAATCACGAGGCTTTAAAAACAAATTTAAAACCATACAACCAACCATCAAATAAGCACAAGCACATAAAATGGTGGCCATAATAGTGGATTAACTACTTCCTGCAAAACCAAGTTATGCATATAATCCAATATATATGGTTGCGCTTGAGCACACATTGACAATATAAGCAGTTTAATCCGGATCTTGTACACAACTGATTAACCTCAAGCTCTGATACCACTTGTTGGGACATATGAGGATCTCGATGTGCACAAATCACGGACTAACATTCAACATAAACCTATGCGCAGCGGATCTAAAGGTTTGATGAAGAAAACTTACTGCTTAAAATTTATGTATATCTGGTTGGCCCGAACAATTGACCGCAAATCAAATCTTCTCGGAATCGAACAAACTTGACCAATCCAGAAAGCTGGCGTCACGGCAAAGTCAACGGCGTTGACCGATCAGAAATCAGACGGTTCACGCACTCTCACGCGAGCGAGTAAGCTCCGGCAGCTGCTCCCTTCCGGCGGCACGTGGCGGCTCGTGCGGCGGCGGCTGGCAGCTGGCGGCGATCTCTTTGTCTCGTCGTCCTGGTCGTCGTGGTATGGTCACTTGCTGGGTTTGGTCTCCTGTTTGGATGTATGATAGATCTGATTGGAATCCCATATATACCTTAAGATCTTCTACTGTATTCTCAAACAGCTATCTAGATCTTGTATCAGTGGATCACAAGAAATAGAACTACTCCTTCGAAGAGAGAGAGAGAGAGAGGGCTGGACGTGTTTCCCAAGGTTGTGGGATTCTCTCTTCTTCCATGAGCCTAATGCTGTATATATAGAGCTACAGTAGGGACCCTAAGGAGAATAGGATAAGGGCTTCTAATATATTAATGCTATGGAGCAACCCCACAATTAATATATTAATACTATTAAAGTCCACCACAATAATATTATTGCACTCCCCTCAACTATCCCAAATTACATTTGAGACTCCTTATTATAATTATCCGATTTATCTCCCCATGTTTAAGATATAATGTCCATTAATTAATTCGATCACTAATAATCAAGAATTAATTAATATATTATATTAGCGAAGCTAGCGCTCGCTCATAGCATTCATATTATGCCGGAACAAATCCACCTGCAGGGTTTAGCATAATATTCTTTCATGAACTCACTTCGGGGACATCATCATACTAACGCACATGGTGACCGTAAATATCCTAATAGCACATCGAACACATAATGTCATTACCCAATTCATTAAGTATGTCGACCCGGCTTCGATCTCACCCAAAGAATCAAAGCAACAACAATTATGTGCACATGCCTATTTAATATCTTACGGGTTAAGAGCACGCAATAATTAACTGAGGCCTAGTTCGTTTACGACGATCAGTATAAAACGAACATCCCTCTCTGGGATCCTGTTCAATACATAAATGTACTAGTGCAACTAATCGGTCGAGACAAACCGTACGGTTGACACTACAACCGTTCCGATGGGTTGTTCAATTCCATCTAGGTTGTGAACCAATGATTCTTGTTTCGCAAGTAACTGATATAGTGATCTTCGGTACGCCCGATGACGACCCACTTATCTACATGCAAAACAACATAACGTGGAACTTATTTAACCAAACATAATTCTCATTCATCAAGAAATAACAAGTGTAATATCCGCTAAAGCAAAGCTTAAGTATATAACACCAACAATGCTGTCTTTGGAATATCGGCCTTGTGGAGTCGAATCTGATGGTAACCAGCTCTTAGGTCGAGCTTTGAGAAATAGCGTGACCCAGCTAACTCATCAAGCAAGTCGTCGACACTATGGATAGGAAATCGGTCCTTGATAGTTGCGGCGTTCAGAGCTCGGTAGTCAGTACAGAACCTCCATGTGCCATCTTTCTTTTTAGCTAACAGGACTGGAGAGGAAAACGGACTCTTGCTATGCTGGATTAGTCCTGACTCAAGCATTTCGGCCGCTTGCCGTTCGATCTCGGTTTTCTGAAAGTGCACGTACCTATAAGGATGAACGTATATGACATGCTGCTCATTGATCAGTGGTATGCGATGATCGAACTCCCGATGTGGGGGTAGTCCCTTAGGCTCGCCCAGTACTCCCTCAAATCCCTTGAGAAGCTCGTGCACATCTCCCTGCTGTTGTTCCTCTTGGTCTATGTGCGCCTCTGTTTTTTCTACTACTACTGCAAATATTTGGCCTCCACCCCGCCAAACCTTTTCAATGCTCTTAAGTCCTACTTCCTTGGTACCTTTTTCATTGCCCGTACTCAGAGTAACTGTTGTCCTCTGGAGTTGAACTCCATAATTCCTGTTCGATAGTCGGTGGTCACCTTGCCTAACCCTTCGAGCCACTGTACTCCTAGAATGACATCCGGCCCAACCAAAGGTAAGGCATAGAGATCAGCCTTCACCGTAATTCCGCTGAACCTAATTGGCACCTTCCGGAAAGATTTAGTGCATTGCAGCCTCTCACCATTGGCTCGTACCTCAAAAGGCTCAATCTTCGTGGTTGGTAAGTTCAGCTTCTGGGACAAGTCGGCATTGATGAAGTTGTGTGATGACCCATTGTCCACGAGCACCATCACCTTTCGATCCTTGACCCAGGCCGACAATCGCATTATTCGAGGCCCTCTAATCCCGGCCATTGCGTGCATCGAGATTTCTGCTTCTTCGTCGGGCCCCACAACCTCATTGTCCTGATGTGGTTCCTCCTCGACCTCAGATCCTTCCTCATCAGGGTTAGCAACTTCGATAAAAAAAAGCTTGCTAACACTGATGACCTGGTGTAAATTTTTCCTCACACTTAAAACATAGGCCTTTCTCGCGTCGACGTTTAACTTCCTCGGGAGACAACCGCCTTACTATTAACCCCGCCAGCCGATTGTTAACGTTCGGTCGGGCGCTGGCCGTTGCCTGATTCGGCCCCGTGCGTCGCGTGTCCGTGAATCGCACATCCGCCCAACCCCTTTGCGTAGCGACCAGATGGTCTTCTCGTCGATGGGCTACCTCCATGGCGTTACGCATCGTGTCTGGTCGCTCCAGTCGAACTTCTGCTGCTAGATCGAATCTCAGCCCACCTACGAAGGCTCGTACTAGCGCATCCTCGGACCTATCTCGTACGCGACAGGCTAGTCGTTCAAACTCCTTGATATATTCACGCAAATTGCCTGTCTGTCGTATTCGTGCGAGGGCCTCATTGTAGTTATGGTAATCGGACGTACCAAAACGTGTGAGCAATTCTCTCTCAAAGTCAGCCCATGTAATGACCTGTTGCCACCTACGATAGATCCTTGAGAGCCACTGCCACCATACGTTGGCCTCTCTATCCAAATAGAATGCTGCGTACCTTACTCGGTCGTGGCCTTCGGTTTCATTCAGTTTGAAATATTGCGCAATTCGGTTGAGCCATGCCTCTGGATCACTACCCGTGAAGATGGACATTACGAACCTCGGCTTGTCGGGCTTCGGCCGTTCTCGGTGGGTGGACGCCTGCGACCGCTGGTCGAACTCCTCCTCGTGCTCGTAACCCTCGCGTCACCGGTCTTCGTCATGTTTGCGCGTGCGCCGTCGCTCACGTCGATCCCGCTGTGGGGATGGTGTGCGTCCGGCATGCTCGGCGTGTTGGCGCGGTTCACGCCTTGGGGGATCGTCGCGATGATGTAGGGGTTGCTGCTGGAACACGCGCAAGACTTCTTCTAAGCGCTATTCGAGTCGTGTGACAACGGCGTTGGTGTTGTTTTGACTTTCGTCAAGCGATCTAAGCCTTCCTTCCATAACCTCGCTCATACTTCGCATCTGGATGTCCAGGTTGTCGATTTTATCCTTCATTTCTTTGTTGGCCATGGCTTTTCTTTCTTCTCTACGCTCTTTGCTTTGTTGACTCGTGTTTGAAGATGATGATGATGATGACGAACGAATATATATTTTTTTTTTTTTTGATAAGGTGGACGAAAAAAACGAAGAGAAAAAGAAAGGGAATGGGGTAGAAGAAAAACACACGATCAACACCTCTCAATGAAAGCACAAATGATGAGGATCGTGTGTTTCGACTGCCGATAAGCCGCTAACCCGCGCATTGAATCGCCGATAGTGTTTCTCTAGCCACAACAACGCCTATTGAAACGAATAAAATTGCAGTAGTATTTTGGTGAAAAGACTAAAGCAAAGTTGGAAGAACAAAGTTCTAGATTTATATTGATTTCTTGGATTATTCAAAATAACATGGGGTAAGGGCATTTATATAGGCACAGGATTTCTCTAAGTCTAATCTACCTATGCAAATAATAAAGCAATAAAATATTAGGAATCCTAAACAAGCTAGAAAATATAATGCTAGTTGGAAACTAAATCTCTTGGTGTGCACTCCAAGCAATCCTCTCTCTCTCTCGGTCACACGCCCCTTGCGCGCCGCCTTTGCCCAACCGCCTCACATGTTGCCTAGTTGGTGCGGCACTAGGGCGCCGCCTCTTTGCGCGCGTGTTGCGCCCCCGCCGTGTGGCGCACGCCTACTCCGTCCGTGTCCTCAGCGTGCGCGTGCTCCTCCCCCTTTCCGCATTCCTCGAGGCATGCGGCATCTAGCTCCGCGCGTGCCTGCTCGTCATGCGTGCTTCGCGCGCCCCGCTCGTCCATCCCTGTCGCGCGCGCGTCACCGCAAATCGCCCGCGTCCCGTCAGCGCTTGCACCCATCGCTTCGTTCGTTGCGCGCGTACTGCTGCCGCGCGCTACGCCTACGCCCGTACTTGTCGCGCCCTATGCCCATCCGTGGTGTGTGCCTGTTGCACCTATCGTCCACACACCCGCGCGCTGGCCATCTTCGCTTGTCCTGCGCGCACTACTCTCCAGTGTGCGCACCTCTGCTGCTTCCCGTGCTAACCTCTTACGTGCGTGGTAAGCGCGACTCGCGGCGTTCTTGAGTTACTTAGCCACTTCCGCATCAGCCCGCCCCTGCGCACGTGCCTCCATGCGCTGTCTGCTGTGCCGCGCCTACCTGCGCCCGTCCCTGCGCGCACCCAAACTTCCCGCGGGCTGCCTGCGCGTGCGTCCGTCTGCGCGTGGCCCCGTGCACCACTGGGCACCTGCGCGCGTGTTGCGCGCCCATGTGCGTGCATAGTGCCCGTTGGGCACCCGACTAGCATGCCTTCCATTCCTTCGAGCTACCTGGTATTTTAACCACCCCCACCAGATTTCACTTCTCCGATAAGCATCCCGAAACCATCGACTGCACGTCCTTTTGAGTCGTGGCCTCATCCGTGCTCGTCTACGCCAATGCGCGTGTTCCCGCCCTTCTTGAATTTTCCCTTTCATGCGTGTGAGCGTTGCTATCCTTGAGACCACCTTCTCGCGTGTCCTTGCACACTTCCATGCACGACCTCGTGTTCGTGTGAACTCGTGCCGCTTCTCATGTGCTTGAGTGCATCGTATACGAGCTTCTACCCACCTCTTAGGCCATGCATGCGTTGTTTTGGCCTTATTTTGAGCTTCTTCGGGTCATCTTGGCTCTTGGACCGTCTTGTCGTCGGGGCTCAAAACCCACTTCCGTATCACCGCGCGCCTGCGCTGATGAGGATCGTGTGTTTTGATTGTCGATAAGCCGCTAACCCGCGCCTTGAATCGCCGATAGTGTTTCTCTAGCCACAACCGCGCCTATTGAAACGAATAAAATTGCAATAGTATTTTGGTGAAAACTAAAGCAAAGTGGAAGAACAAAGTTCTAAATTTCTATTGATTTCTTGAATGATGAAAAATAACATGGGGAAGGGGCCTTTATATAGGCACCAACTAGATCTAAGTATATTCTACCTACGGAACTAATAAAGCAATAAAATATTAAGTGTCTTAACTAATCTAGATATCATAGAGCATTAAGGAAACTAAATAAGTAGGGATTTCAACTTGTCTTGCTCTCCAAGTAACCCCAAGCCGCCATTGGCAGCCCTGCCCGCGCGCGCGTGCTGTGATGACGGATCGGATTGCTGTCTATACTTGGGTTGTTAATAAACGCGCACTCAGGGCCTTCTTTTATCCACAATAGGTGTATCTAACAGACGCACTATCGGCCTTCTCCTAGACACTGTGACATCAAGACGCTCTAACGGCCTTCTCTCTGACACTGTATGTAAACACGCACTAATGACATTGTTTAAACACACGTAAGAACATTACATTCCCCCTAAAAGATTCACTCATCAATTCCAAGACTCAACATGTTTATTAATGAAGAGGTACATGGGTATTTATAGGAGAAAACTAAATCTAATTCTAGTCTAATTATATCTCTGTTCTATGCAATAAATAAATCCTAAAGCTAATAAATCTCCTAACATCTTCTACTACTAATAAATACAAGCAATAAGGAAATAAAATCCTACTACTACCAAAATACTATTGTTTGGCTTGCACACCAAGCAATCCTAGAAGCTCAAGTCTTTACATGCTCAAAAGTCCAAACCGCCATTGCATATTCGGCCGCTTCCTTCTGCACGTGCGCGCCCGCGAGGCCTAGACCTTGTCGGCCACGGCTTCGCTCGCGTCCTCCGTGCACGCACGCAGTATTGCGCGCGCCTCACCTGCGCCGCCTTCAGTTCGCGCGTGTTTCCTCGCACCCAGGCCGTCCGCCCCGCCTAATCCTTCTCCGAGTAGGCCTCCGGCTGCGTCGCCCCACTCGCGCGCCTGTGTGTGCGCTCCATCCCAGCTGGCTTCTTCGCGCGCGTCCGTGCCAACGCCCACGGCCCAATCGCCTACGGCGCACCCCACCGCGCCTACTTCTCCGCGCGTCGCATCCATCGTCCGATGGCTCCACTCCTTCGCCTCGCACCCATGTATGCCCGACACCATTTGCATCATCTTATCCCGTTGCTCGACCCGTGCACCAATTGCCCGCATATTTCCATCGTCGATCGTGCACCCATGTTCACCGTCTTGCTCGTTCGACCACTTGCGCGCATTAAGGCACGATGCGCGTTCCTTTCTCGTGCTCGCACCTACGTCGCCAACCGACTCCGGCTGCTCGCCCGATGACCTTGGTTCGTCCCACGGGTCTCATCCTTCAATGCCCTTACCATCCACCGCAACACAATCTCCAGCTCGCCATATCCAACCATCCTCCATCCTTTGTTTACCACGCCTTCTAGCCTCCTTCTTTCGTGCTCCTCTCTTTCTTGTACAAGGCTTGCACCAACACTTCCTTTCTTTATCACTTTGCCTTGCCTTTCCTTCGCGCTTGCT